ATTATTATTATTATATTATTATTATTATTATTATTATTATTATTATTATTATTATTATTATTATTATTATTATTATTATTATTACTATTATTATTATTATTGTTACTATTATTAGTATTTAGTATTAGTAGTAGTAGTCGTCGTATAGTCATTATTAATGGCTTTACAAATATTTCTCGAGGAAAATGTTTAGTTTTCGAATTTCCACTCGAAAAAAAAAAACCAGTTATTTGCAATATCTGTGAAGATAGTACTGACGCTGAGAAAAGAAATCCTCAAAGAGAGGGACAAAAAGACTGGAAGGTTACTTTATAAGATTTCATGAATTTTTACTTTATTATCACATGAACGAAATTCTGCTGGTGAAAAAAAAGAAAAAATGCGTTAGAAAGTTTTTATATGCAATAATTACAGAAAGTATAATAACATCAGGACGACCACTTTAAGTACCGATGCACTGACTTCAGATAAAGACAAAGATGTGAATATAATGAGCATCATTAGGTAGTCAAAATTCACAAATTTTAACAAAAAAAAAGGGAAAAACAAGCGAAAAACTTTTACAACACTTATAGTGTGAGTATGAAATTTGCTCATCAATTTCAACCCACTACCATCACAGAGCACATAAACAAACAATTCACGAAGGAATGAATTTCGGTTTTTGTATTAAAAAACCTATATCCCATTTTAGAAATACACCAGTTTTTTCCCCAATAATTTCTCATGTCCTGTTGACATTCTGCAACATACTTTGCTAAACATTAAAACGTTTCAGAAACAAATCACACCCGCATATTTTTTCGTAGAATGGTGGCCTCAAATGATAGTTATTTTGAAGAGACTAGAACAAAATCTTGCCATATTTTTGAAAACTTGGCTTAACATTTCTGCCAAGCAAGAAACAGGACTAATTTAACCGCAGAGAGGTAAATGTTATCAGCGCAAAGAGGAAAATGAAACAGAAAAAGATACAGCAATGTTCATTTCGCGGAGAATAACTGCGTCAAATAGCATGCATGGCACAGCATCGAAATACTTATAAAAAGCCATAATTATAAAAGATTTTCAATATAAAGCCATGACTTTCAGTATAAATTAATTAATCAACCAATCTTAAATTTACCCAACAAAACAGGGATTTCAAAGACCATATATTAACAGAAATACTATTTCTTCCCCTCTTTACAATGAAAAATATTTCGATATGAAAAAATTATGTTGAATGGCAGAAAAAAAAACAAGTCTGTCTTATACTGGCATTTTCGCTTTAATACGACATTTCTGAAGCGTGGCACGATAAATAAACTGCCGACGTGAAAGCTGACGTACTTCTTTCAAATAATTTGTTAAACTGATACGACCACGACTTAACGCTTGACCAAGGAAATAAATAGCATCGTCGATAGCACAATCATAAACGTAACAACTAAGTAACTGCAACAAATTTATAAGTCTGTCATCAACAATGCAACTAGAGGTTGCTTTCAAAGAAGAATTGCAAAGAAATGGAGACACAAAAGACCAGAAATTTTCGCTAACGCATACACAGGAATGATCGTTAATTATTCTAGTTTAAATTCCCATTTTGATTTTTCGTGTTGTTGCAAGCGAGAAATTAAATTTCCTATTTAGCATTTTCCCCTTCAACTCTATTAGCCTTTAAAGAAAATTCATAAAACAGGGACTAATTCTAACCTGTCTGTGCAAAGGTGTACAAGCATCAATCACTTGATCAATTTCTACAATTTTTCCCGGTGACGATGTCGAAAGCAGCGAGCTAATTTCGGCTTTTTTTTCCTGAAAATTGAAGCTATTCTTCCGATTAATCAACAAACAAAAAGTGAAAGGTACTAAAACCTAACGAATTTTCGGAAACTAGAAATCAGAGACAAAATAACGCTCATATCAAAGAAACAGGCACCTGATACACAATTAGTGCGTCCTCCATCCGTTTCTGCTCTTGCGTTAAATTTTCCACAATAACTTTGAGCTTTTGCTGACCGGCACGTAGATCTGCATGAGTCTGTCTTATTGAAGCTAATTCGGCATGCATTGTTCCTTAAAAACCTGATCTAGAAGGCTTCATACCTAACTAGAAACACAACACTTCAAGATTTCAAAGTTACAGTCCGATTGCGATTCAAAGAGTAAATAATAACTTCACAGAGGATTTTGTACAATTTAACGCAAGGAAAAGTACAGGTTTCTGATAAGAAACGAAAAGATACCTAATTTTTCACGAAGGCGTTGTCTAATTTTGTGTTCAACAGCACTCATCACAGATGCTTTCAGGTGTTCCGGCTGAACCGTGCCACTGCCAACATTACCATGTGGCATAGAAGGATAATAAGAAGCAGGTGTCGTTGGATATGGCGGTATTCCGGGCGCATTAGAAATTGGATAAGGTGTGTAACTTTGAATCTGGCCAGCAGATGTTGATCCCACACCTGAGAGACGTGAACTGCTATTAGGCTTCGCAAAGACCGGACAAGAGTCTTGGAAACACATCGCCATAACCTTGAAAAATGCAAACTTCGTGGATTTTCTACTAAGGATTGATTTTTTATTACTCATTAAACAATATATTTGCACGAGTGAAAGAATTACCTGTAATAAACCACTTAAATCATATCCTGGAAAAGACCAATCACTAAGATATGGCAAATAGATGCGTCCCTGCTTATCCACTGTTTTTGATTCCTTCAGCATCATATTCGGCGTTGGACATACGTAACATATTGGTGCATAATAGGGATGGGTGTCCCAGAGATATAACGCTACTGGTATGTTATATGTATTACCCTGAAAAGAAATTTCTTTTTATGGAAAATTTCATGAAAATTAACAAAGACATTCTAAAAATGGAAATTCGAGAGCAACTTTGCAGTTATATTACCTGTCTAACAAACGAATTTACAACCAACAAAATCTTTATCAAAATAGATAAAAGATGAGGAGAGACCGAAATAACGTATGACAAGGTCCAACACCAGAATATATGCACAAAATAAAAACATATGAGAAACTGAAATGATCAATCCTTCAATATAACCAGGAATGATCATAAATCGATATAAACCTTATAAAGAACAGGAATTGTGCCCTTCAGACGAAATGCAAGCGTACACGTCCTGTCCGGATAAACAAAATGTTCAACGTCCGGTGTGAGATCAGGAAAGCCGCTTAGAGCTAAGAGTATATCATTCTTCGCCGTATCCACATATTTTGCTTTAGCTCGATCCAATAAAGCAATAACGGTCGATGATACGGCATTATTTGTCATACTACAAAATTTTATAATTACTGTTACAATGTAGTAATAATTAAATGTGACAATTAAATTTGCGCGTAATGAATGCTCAATAAATTTACGAGTTGTTGTATTTGGTAATTTTTGTAACGATCAACATTTTTCGGCTTGACGCATACACTTATTTATTTCTAACGTAAAATCTCCCTTGACATAAATTACACGAAAATGATCATTTAAATACTTATTAACTTACCTCCCATTAAGCAGCTAACTACCTCCTCGATAACCAACCACTTTGTTCCTGACTTAGCTGCTTAATTATTCTACCAATCAATTACTACAAATTATATAATTTATTTTGCTCGACAAACTTACTTAAACCAGTAAATTACAAAAAAAAAGAAGAAACACTGATTAGACCAAAGACCAGGAATTGTTGTATGAACATATGCACCGAACTCTTCATTGAACTACTGATCGAGACTTTAAATTCAACTAAACTTTCAACAGCAAAAATTCACGATCACACGCTAAGTTTGACCTCAGCATCTCAAATACGATGGACAACATTCAAGCCTCGGTACTTCATAAGAATGAATTAATGGCAAAGACCAATAGTGTTGAAGCACGAAAGAAAAGAAAATCAAGAGAAAAAAGGAGATAAGAAATTTCAAGATTTGTATTTACTGGCAAAAATTGCATAAGCCAAATCGCTTTTCTGAAAAATTAATTCGTGACTGTCAGCCGTTACACAGCAAATTGAATAACAAGAAGATTCTGCATTGATTAGAATAAAGAGATAACATATCCACTCCTGATATCACTCCTAACATATCAATCAGCAAAATACATTACTTACGCCACATGAATATAAAACACTTCTTCCCAGATCCACAATAATTTTCATACCCCCTCATTTGTGACACCATGCAACGATGTTTGTGGCATATCGATTTTCAACCGATTCCAAATAGTATACTATTAAAAAATAGTATGATTATATTGGAGATCTAGTGGTTGTGGAAGTATGTAATGTTAGAGATGTTTAGGGTGCGAAATAGCTTGGAGATTTGCGGAAGGATAAAGAGTGGAAGGATCAACAAAAGAGCTTAATATTTGGGAGGCTAGGAGAGGAAGGATAATTGAAAGTGGAAAGAAATAATATAAATGAAGAGATGGTAAAGATTGATAAGAATTACGAAATATAGTATGGTTATAGATTGAGAAGCGATTTAAGTCATCACTTTAGAAAGAGTATATTCTCACCTGCACCAAATTGTTCATGCTTTGATCTTTATGTATGCATTTACTTATCACTGCTTGCACGTTACAGTAAAATTGAGAGCGCGAGTTGAAAGAACTTATGGTACTCTTATCCTTTCTCTCACTTTTGTTGCATATTTTGGCATACCAACGGTATGGTTATGTGCGTTACGATGTTTAGAGTTGATTAAGTGTAGTTAAAGTAAATAATCCTATTTGTTTGGATAAAGGAAAAATTCAAAAGTTATCACTAGTCAATGGTAAAGAAATTTTTAGGATATTGACAAATCTGAAAATCTATTATTATTCCGAAACTATCCAAGAACCATACTTTCTTTTTTTCGTAGAATTCAATTTTATTTCAGGATTTTTTTAAAAGGTTTTTTTTGGAAAGGGTGCTTTTTTTTGAAAGGCTGTTTTTTTTCGGGTGTTAATTGCTTATCGAAATTATGGGTCGAAAGAAAAAGCGTGCCGCGAAACCCTGGTGTTGGTAAGTTATTTTAATATTTATGGAGGAAAATAAAAACTCGACTTCTTTATTTCCTCTGAAAGAACGAAGGTTTGTCTGAATTGTTTTGCTTATGATAGTACAACAAGTGTTGCAGTCGTTATTTATCTTGGTTGATGATATCAATCATGTTCTTTTTTTTCTTTTCAGGCAAGATTTTGATTAAATTTTGAACCTTATTGTTCGATAAAAAGCTTAGCTCAGGATAAGACACGTTAGATTATGCCACTGTTTCGTGTTTTTTCATCTGATCATCTTAAGGACTAAATTTTTTCTCATCATTCTTCCTACTCCTTTATCTGTTTTTGAGTCCATGAATGTAAATCATGGGTATAAATGGAAGGCTTAAGTAGATGGTTAGCAAGGAAGCAAGGTAACTAGTTGTTATGTTGATGGTCAAGTGAGCTAGTGTGTAATTAATCAAATCCAACAAGGTTGGCTAGTGAAGTAATGGAGAGCAACATGCAAAAACGTAGGCAGGATTCAATTATAGGGATAATTTGAATGCAAGATATAATTATCAAAGTTCACTGGTAGTTTTGATCTGTCAGAGCATTTTGACGGTGGGTTTACTGAATCTCTTTTCAGAGATTTGTTTGCTGTAAAACAGGACATTCAGTTGCGGATACTGCATGGAGTCACATGGCTGAAGGATCGGTTGATCCTAGTGGTTGGATTCAAACTACTATATAAAATATGGGTCATCTTTATTCTATTACAGGTACTGCAATCGCGAATTCGAAGATGAAAAGATTTTAATTCAGCACCAAAAAGCAAAGCATTTTAAATGTCATATTTGTCACAAGAAGCTTTTCACAGGACCCGGATTAGCCATCCATTGCATGCAGGTATCGTTTTCAATGAGCTAAAATTACAGTGAACAGATTTTTTTATTAAACCTTTCTTGCGTATGTTATTACTTGGGGCTCGTTTTATTCACCATTCCTGAAGTTTGCTCATTTTTAAGGTGCACAAAGAAACGATAGATAAGATACCCGCTGCTTTACCCGGTAAAGATTCAGTTGAAGTAGAAGTTTATGGCATGGAAGGTATTCCTGATGATGCTCAAGGTTAGGAAATTTTTCCATTTTACTGCAGATATGCAAGTTTTTAATTTCATAACCTCCCAGTATTGCATATTTCCAGAAAAGTATTAATGCTTTTCTTGTAGAGGAAAGTACAAAGAAGGAGTCGAAGAATACAGCTGCTCCGGTACCTCCTCTAATAGCTCCATTTCCAATGCTACCTCCAGGTAAATTCTTTTTTTTCTCGCGTTAATTTCATATTTTGCACGGTTTGGTAAAATTCAATTATATATTAACGAGTTTTCAAATAGCAAATGATAATACTTTCATGTATCTGCTGAGGAAATACCAATATCTGCCAATCTTTTTTATATTTCGAAAATTCATTTTGTATTGCAGGTATACCACCTATGATTCCCGGTTTTCCGCCTCTTCCACCTTCAGGAATGCCACCGTTTGGGCCGCCGTTTATGCCAGGAGTGCCGGCGCCACCAAGAGCTCTTCCGCCACTTCCGGTAGTACCTCCAGGTAGTGCTCAACCTGCACTCACAAGGTTTTCGTTTTTTTTTTTACTTTTCACCAGCTTTCGTAAGTTATTTAGGCTGGCACAGGATAACCCGGCTGCGTTTCAGCTGATATGTTAATGAATTATGACACATAACTTATATTTCATGCGGAAGAGACAGTGAAAAAAATTGTTATGCTGCCAATGTATTCAGTTCTATCCATTCACAACTGAACTTTAACTAAAACATAACGTTTCTCACTCATTTCTTGCAAAAGTTAATATAGGCTATGTATAGAAAAGTTTGGAGTGGCGTGTGGATTTTAATAACCTCGCATATGTTTCAGATGAACTTGTCACCACTTTTTATTTTACTTTATGTTGTATGTGAGCTGGTAGGAAGGTAACAGAGTAGGAGAGAGCATTGAATAAATATGGTAGGAAGGTAACGGAGTAGGAGAGAGCATTGAATAAATACATGGATAAGGTTTCATCAGCTTCGTTCAGTCATCGGGTTTTTTATTATTGGCTTAATTCTTGCCGATATATGTTCTTGTCATAGGGAGTAGCTCTTACATACTAGCATTTTTGGTCTTATATTTGGAAATTGAAATTTTGAAAGAGGTGTTGCAGGAGATGCTGCGTCTCTTTGTATGTGCCCCTTTGGAAGTACTGCAATACTTAACTATGAGTTTGTTACAGCATGAACTTACCCCCTCGGGTACCGCTACCAAATGGTCCGATGGGAGTACCCGGAATTCCTGGTCCAGGAACAATCAATGCACAGTCTACACCTGTTGTACCAGCAGCTTTCCCAGCCTATAGTGATCCTTCTTCTAGTAAGACCACAGAACCGGAACGGATCCGGGAAATACCTAATCAAATCCAAAGATTGGGGGCAAAAATACACATCATGCATCCTGATGAAGATATATCATTGGTATGTTATTTAACATGTGTTTGAAAGTTTCGAAAGATTCGTTGTGGATTTTGCATAGTTCTTAAAACAAGTTAATTTTTTCTGAATTAAATTTGGTAACATTCCTGGACAATGCAAAATATTTTTCCCAGGAGGAGCGGTTGGCAATCAGTAAAGGATTCATCTAATTGACAGTGGATTCAAATTTTTCATGAGGTAAGTTCTTTCTTCGTCTTTTTTTTCAGGATGTAGCTGACCATTGACTACTTTGTGCCATAAGTTTCAAGGCAGTTTTTAATAGTTTATAAGTAGGTTACCTGATTTCCTACATAGTTTCTTTGCATAAATTCATCATAAGCTCTGCGTTGTGGAACCTTTAGAAAGAGCTGAAACGACAGTTTCCGACCGTGCCACACAGTTTTAATTGTAAAGGTTAGTCCTGGAAGCAGGTGGGTAGTGTTTTCTTGCTCATCAAAAAAAAGGTTATGAAACCTTCATGTCCTGTACGTTTTTGGCACTCCCGTTGGTACTTTTCGTCCACACTTTCTTCAAGGTTTCAGCAACTGCTGCGGGTCTTTGGCAACTTTTTTCTGTGAGTTTAATTAATATTTTGCGATAGTTATGTCGACATCTTCACAGTTAATTTGGGATAGAACTTTGTTGTTGTGGTCCTCAAAAGTGGAGGGCTGGGAAGTTTGGGCTTTGAATCCTTATACCCTGGAGGACTTGGAAGCGGATTTTGTGGATTTCATGCTTGGTTTCCGGCATTCACAAGTTGTGTCGTAGGATGGGAGATTGACAAGTAAGTTTGCTGTTCGAAGTATATTTTACTTTTTTCACTTCCTGCGGAAGTTTATTGTGACTGAAGCTGTGATGAGGTAAGTATACTACAGCTTAGCTCGTAAGGCTTTGCTCACCGGTTTTTGCCAACAAAATTTTTATTTCAGTGGAATCCTGTTTCCTGTCATTATCGTCGTCAAAATTTGTTATCCGTATGCAGAAGAAAAAAGTGAGGATTAATGCTATTGATTGCGCTTTACCAAAAAGCTAAGCTGAAAACGATTAGCGCTGGAATTGTGATTGATCGACTACATTGCATTATTTTTCCATCCCCTTGTTTTTTTTTCTTTTTCTTTATGTAATTGTATTGTATGCTGATATCGATTGTCGGTAAGTTTTATTCTCTTTTATTAGACAACAAAGTTTTCGTTATTTGGATTTTGTTGTTTGACACACACGCAGCACGAATACATAACTCATATTCAGGACACATGTATATATTCACTTCTGTGTAAAAGTTACTACATATCAAAGCTCTCCGGACGGAGAATGAGATTTGGATCAGTTCGAATTGGAGTAGGATTGAATTCCTTCCGCTGAATTTAATATTCCATCAAATCTGGACATGCAAAATAATCAATCATCGAAATATCCGAACGATATTTTGATTGCGTTGGAAAGGGATTCATTCTACTTCGGTTGAGTCATACTAGTGAATGGGCATCTTTTTTTCCTGGAGAAATGTAATTCGTAGAGATTCAGCTAGGAGGGTTGGCATTTTAGACCCTTGAAAAGCGAACAACATTTAAACATCGTCCGTATCAAAAACATCTTGACCCCATGAATTACTATCCCGTATGCTTCCTTAACAGAAGCGACGTCCGACTGTTTATTGGTATCAATAGTACATGTATACCATAAATTATGTAGCTGTTGAGGGGGTCAACAAAACAAAGATGAATGCAAATTTTCGAAATCGCAAAGTCATCTTGAGCCCCCGTTTTACTCCTCTGATGGCCCAGTTATTACATTTAAGACAGTTACACCTGAAAGAGATCACCGGAGGCCCGACCATCGTACTAGCGATCATTTTTACTTAACCGCCCTACTAACATTTGTTAACGTTAGTTTTATTTGATCTGTTTCCCGATCACTTTATACATTAACACAACAGTAACGACATTCCAAATATTTTTTTATTCCATAAAACTAAGAGGAAGACCCTGCTGGTTCTTCATGTATCTTCGGTACCGTTTGTAACGCCCACTAGCGGCCAGGCGTTCTTTTTGTTCATCTTCCTTCGCAGCCTTCCACTCCGCAAATTTCACTCTATCCCATAACTCATTTTTGAACAAGGATAATCGTTCACTATCGCTGAAATTCTGAAATAAGTATCGTTATAATGGGCTTGTAATATATGCTTAACAAAAAATGAAAAGCGGCTTTTAGCGAAACAAGAGATCTCGTGAATTAGTTGAAGTAATAAGAAAATACATTCGACAAAAGGGAAGCTTACTGCAAACTGTTCTTCAGAAAGATTTAGATTTTTCTGTATCAGATAAGTCTTCGCATCTTCATCGTAATCTTCTTTTTTCAAATGATACTTTATGAACCATGAGAAGTTCCAAGCAGCATACCTGAAGTACCTCTACCAGTGTCATCGATCTTCAAGTTTCGCATAAACCGACGAACTTGAAGGACAAAATTCGAAAGAACCAAAGATTTTGTTAAATAAACTAGTTCGATACTACGACCACTTCTGGCGGCTACACAACAGAACTTTTAGGTTTGATGAAACTACCGGTAATTCAGTGGAACATGAAACAGGATTCTGCTTTTAGCTCAAATGAACGAATATGCCAAGTTACCTGTATATTGTATAAGGCAACACAATAATCGTCCACAACAATGTATTGTATATCGACGGCTTCTTGTATCCACCTCTGCAACCGGAAAATCGTTCAGTGGAGTGTATCTTCAAATGTGACTCGTTGAGAACAACCTATAACAATATGCCAAATAACTAAGTCTCGCTACAGAAATTCATTCTCAGAAAAGGGGAAAGGCTCATAAAGGGAAACAAGTAATCTGAAACGTAAGTCTTAGGACTGTTGTGTTGTTGTAAGAAAACCAGGAAAAAAGGAAACTAAAGACTAAATCTGTGACCTTCAAAATCTTACCTGATATCCACATTTTCTTCAATAATCTGTCGCAAGACCTGTTCGGCGTATTCTTTCCGCAATTTTTTATTACGAGAGTCGCCTTCTAATGAAATTCCTCTTTCTTTGGCAATTTCTTTCGCCGCGTTACGATATTTTTCTTGTTTCACAGCATAATCAAGTGCTTCCTTATGTTTTTGTGCTGCACTCAGAAACTAAAATATGTCAATTTGCATCAGAACGCTAATTGTGACAAAAACATAAAGTTATGTGATTGCTAGATCTTATGCAAGTGGATAAGTCTCGGTTAATTCATTTATTCACTACAGTTTGAATTCAACTATTTGTAGTTTGAGGAGAAAGATGCTAAAACATACCTGAAAAGCAGATATAAGTATTAAAGTAACCAAAACAACAATTCGTGCATCCACTTTTGGAGCCATCCGCCTGCGATAATACTGATAATAATTGTAAGCTCGTTGCTCCGGATGATCCAAATAATAATCATAATCAGCTCGTGTTTCATCATCCTTCAGAGTCTCATAAGCTGTTGCAATCTTACGGAAGTTTTCTTCCGCTTCCTTTTTCTTAGCCTAGAATTTTGCATTATATTGTGGTAGATAAAGTGAACTGATGAAATATACGAGTGCTATTATTAATCATCATTAATTTGATTTAATGAACTCGAAAATTCCATTTCTGCTCCGGAAAACTACTCACGTCACTAAATACTCACATTTGCAACTTTGTCCGGATGATACCGCGCTGCCAATTTCCGGTATGTTCTACCTAACACATTCTGAAATAAACACAACAAAATCACCACAAAATTCCTAGGTTTGTATCATTTGTATATATTTATATGTTCTGTATCATTTATATGCGCAGATTTTAAGCTATCAACTATTAGATTGACAAAGAATGGAATAAAAATTTTGAAAGGAAGAAGTAATTTAGTGGAGTAGAACACGTGGGAAAAAAATGAAAACGACAAACCTTATTGAATTCCGAACGATCAATATTTAGTACTGAAAGCCAAAAAGGAAGATTGGTTGAATTAAATCATATGGAATGAAGTATTAATGAAAGTGTTAACCTAAGCAATGGACAGATTAAACGGAATGGTTCAAGGGGTAGTTAACATCATGAGGGTTCAAACAACAGTAAAAATAGGGAATAGCGGAGGAATTCATACAAAGCCTTATCCGAGTGATCACGTAGATGGAGTTGCCCTAACTTACCTAAGAGTCCTTCAATGTGTTAGTAAAGAATGGACTAGGCAAGATAAAACACAAGTAACTAAGCTACTAGTAGCTGTCGTGTCTCGGCCGACGGATCGAAACAAAAACCACGAAATAGAGTGAAATTTGACCTTCATAACAGCTTTCAATCCCACAATAGAGACCATCAAGTAATTCGGCATGGATGACAGTGCAAATAATCAGCAGCACTAGCGGCACCATCCGGCGGAAATCCTGCAAATCATCGATCACTCCCAACTATTTCCCCATCAGTTAGCATCAAAACTTTTGATTGGAGCAAAATTCGAATAAACGACCTGATTTTTGTAGAAATGGAAAATAAAAGTATATTAGGGATTCTTTGCTTATCAACTACGAATCAATAACCGATTAGAAGTTTAATTCTAACGGGAAGCACATGCGTATCAGGAAAATACATTGAACTCTGATCTTGGGATGCTAAATAAGAACCCGAACAATCAGTGAAATTTCAAAACGTTTAGTGGAGCGTAAAAAAGAGGTCGCGTAGCAAAAAAAAAAAACCTCATATCTCCCCCTATGTTTCTGCCAGCCCAAACCAGTTCATAATGCATTATTTCAACAGTCATCAATTAAATTAGTTGTAAAATATTGCGCTTTATTGGAGGTTCAGAGATTGATAAGGTTTGGAAAGTATTTGATATCTAGAGATTGAGACGTGAAAAATAGCTGAGCATTTAATGAAGAGATACAAAGATTGGAAGGATTCACAGGGAAGTTGATGAGAAAGAGGGGAAAAGTTTAGGAAAAAATAGCACACTGTAGCAGTAGCAGTGTTTGGGGGGGGGGGAGAAAAATAAATATGATAGGAATGGAGAGGAAAGACGAGGAGGGAACAATATAAATTGCAAGGATTAAGATGTAGTAGATAGCGTCGATAAAATTATTGAATAATAAAGAATCGGATATTAATGAATTACTGGAAATGATTCAAGTCATTTTTATTGGAAATGATAAATAAAAATTTAACTTACATTTTTGATTTACAATCGTTGAATGTGATCGTAGAACGTGTGATTTATTAAGTTGTAACCAACGAAATATAAATTTAATTTTGCAGTAAAAAAAGAAATTTAATTTTTAAATCTTTTGCAAAAATTTGCACGAAATTGGCGATGAAAAGAGGATAAAATGAATGTAATTGTAAGGAATTGTTCTTTTATTGCTTCAAAAATCATTTCGTTGTTCAACAAGACTTATAAACTAATTTAAGAAAACTTCATGGAATATTTTTTTTTTTAGGAGAAGAAAGCCTTTGTAGCTTAAAACTGCT